TTCACGCAAATTCTTCTAGTTGGGTTTTAGTCCACTTCTATATCCTCCCCTTCAAGGCTCAGGGGTCCATGATTATCTTCTGTGTCTGTGTTAATTGGTTTCCCTTTTCTTTATTGAAGAGGGTCTGTGCAGTCTTTCTGCCTAGTCCGCCATCTTGCTGGAACTCTCCTATAGCTCCTTCTTTAAAAAGGCAAAACTTATCCTGTTATTAAAAAATTAATCCCAGTAAAGGCTTATTTCTTTTCTGATATATTTTGGATAATAAAGACAGCTTCACACTATTTTAGCTAAAGTTTTCAATTCAGGAATGCATAGGAAAGAAATGATGAGAAACAGAAAAATGTAAAGGATAATTTTATCATCACAGCAAATGTGATGTGACTATGAAACTAGGATGTAATTACGTAGATTAAAACATCACAGTCTGGGTTTGTGGACCAAATTTTTTATTTAAAAATCCCAAATGTATCAAACAGCATTTAAATCTTCAAATGCCTATTTTCACTCTTCCTTGGAGGCATCATCTAAGAAAAAGAAAACAAAGCCAGTAATAGAGTAATTCTAATAAATGTCATTTCAAATCTAATATATATTGATTACTTTATTCTTACATGACATGGTGAACTGGACAGATAGCATTTCACAAAATAATGAGGTTCCTGTTTGCCTAAATCTATAAAGTTTGCTTTTACTTTGTGGGTGTTTGGTACTTATGTGTATAACACATAAGTAATAGTTGCAGATCATTCATTTATTTGATCCATACACAAAGAAGCACATGTTCTCTCCATAAGCAAGCCCTTCAAGAGTCATATTTTTCAAATAATTTATTAAAAATTATCTCTCAGGATCAGGTATTTACAAAAATCTGGAGGTCTTTCTTGTACACTTGTAAGTGCCACAACTATTCCTTGTTATTTACAGTGCCACAGCTCAACTACCTAGTGACTGTGAAGGACAGGCGTCATAGTGCTCTAACCAACCGTTCACAGATGCATTGTGCTGGTGATTAGAGTCTAGCGTACTTGAGTCAGAAGGTTATACTGTACAACTCATTTGCTGGATAAAAGGAAGAAGTAAATATAACCACCCTGGGAGAAACATAAATAAGAAGACCGACAGAAGAAGAGCTGATCTTTTTAGCATGAACAGATACTCCTCCTCAGTTGACTGTGTTTTTGTTGTTCGATGCCATGAAGTCAATTCTGACTTGTAGTGACCCTGTGTATGACAGAATGAAACACTTCCCAGTCCTGGGCCATCCTCACAGTCATTGCGGAGTTTGAGCTCATTGTTGCAGCCACTGTGTCAGTCCATCTCAAAGGTCTTCCTTTTTTTCACTGACCTCCTACAAAGTATGATGTCCTTGTCCAAGGACTGGTCCCTCCTGATAACATGTCCAAAGTATGTGAGATGAAGTCTTGCCATCCTTGCTTTTAAAGGAGCATTTATTTCAAAGTGTATGAGTGTGTGTTGGGGAGGAGTGGCGTGGGGATTTACATCCAAATGGAGTATTCATTTTGCCAGTCTGAAGTGTGGGAATTACTTCATTGATCAGCTCCTGGGAGGCTGACTGGTTTCACTGAGATCTGATGTTGTGGGCGTTGACTAGGATAAGGCTAGGGACTTTATTCTGATCTGCAATGATCTCAGGAACCCTTAACTCTGGTGCTTAGATGCTAACTAGAACGGGCTGGAGTCTACTGGGCCCACTTTGGAGTGGCTCAGTTATCTCAGATCTGAGTTCTCTTCATTGAGATTACTAGGCCATAGCCACACTATTAAACATTATCTAGAACCAGAAATCTGGGAGAAAGGGAATGGTACTGGTAAGGTAAAAAGTATCACTCTAATGCATTCTCTTCCATGATAAAGCCATGAAAGCTTCTATCACCACAATCCAAAGTATATCTTTTCAAATTAGACAACAAATTTAGGATAATGGTTCTTCCCCTTAGCATTTCCCTAATACTTTAGTACCCTAGTACCTTCTAAGTGTACCTTTTGTGTTGACTACAGTATGAGGAAATCTTGAGATGAGAAATAAGCATAGGTAATAAGATGTTAACAGTTAAGTAACCCCTTCTACGTGCCAGGTACTGTCTCTGTGTGCTTTCAAACCTGGTGCCGTTGAGTTGATTCCAATTCATAGCAACCCTGTAGGACAGAGTAGAACTGCCCTGCAGCATTTCCAAGGTTGTAATGTGACAAATTGCCACATTATTACCTGCATTTAATACTTACATTATTACACCTCCATTTAATACTTAGATTATTGCCTCTATTTTACAGATAAGGAAATGGAGGCACAAAGAGGTTAAAAACTTGCCCAAGGTTATACAACTAGTAAGTAAAAGCACTGGAATGTTACTCTAGGCATCAGACACCAGATCCTGTGCTCTCTACCACTGTCGCATGCTTCCTGTCAGCACATTAGTCCTTTGAATCCACCTTTATTCACCAAAGTTGCTTCAATAACAGTTTTCGCTTGGATGTCTCCCAGGTCAGTTTGCTTACTCTTAAAACCTGCTAGTTGGGATGTTCTTTCTTTACATGTATACTCTAGATTCCGAACAGAATTTACCTACCTGCTGTCTGGCTTCTTACCTGCTTAGATCACAAACTACCTTCATCAGTTTCCTCTGGGCTTTATACCTCACAAAAGGGAAGCACCCCTTCTGGCAGTTAATGACCTGACTTCCTGGATTAGTAATTCTTTTTCTGGTCCCCTTTTTACTAAATGGTTTTCTTCACCATTTCTGCCATCCCAAGTCACATCACCATAGTTTAGTTCCACAAAGTCAATTCTGATTCATTACAGAAAGTAGCCTTTTTACATAGGAAGGACCAGTCTCTTGATAATTTGTCAGAAAAGCCCCTGGACGGGAATCACCTGTGAAAGAATACTTAAGCGCGATTTTCTTCCCGCTCAAGAGAACTATACCTGAAACATGAGAATAGACACAGAGATGAATATAAAAATCCTGACACATGCAAATTAGTCACCAGCATTTGGCCATTAATTTCTGAGAACACGAATGTAGACTTTGTACCACCACAGTAATAAATTCAGTGCAAGTTAAGACAGGCTCAGGAAAGACTTGTTAGAATCTTATAGATTCTAGGAGCCCCTGTTGGTTGATTAGGCAAATGATTGAATGAATCATCTTTATTCATGGATGGGATATGAGAGTCTCAGATTTAGTGGCTTTACACTTCTGCAATTGTTGTTGTTGTTATGTTGTTGTTATGTGCCGTCGAGTCAGCCCTGACTCATAGCGACCCCTCCTTGGGTTTCCGAGGCAGTTTCACCACGGAAGTAGGATTGCCCAACCTTCCTTCCGAGGAGTGGCTGGTGGGTTTGAACCGCCAGCCATCTGGTGAGCAGTAAAGTGCCTTAGGCACTATGCTACCAGAGCTCCCACTTCTGCAATAGGAACCTAATAAAGTGATAATCTCTTATTTAAAGCACATGATCAGAATTCATGACTCCCCAGCTTGGTTTATTGGGGTAATAGCTTGTAATGTCTTAATAGCCTAAAACTCTGGTAACTTATCCAAGATGAAACAGAATTTAACACATTGCTCTAAGTAAATGCTGACTGACTTGCAGGGTGGGTTAATTTTCTCTTCCTTCTCTTAACACCTTTGGCGAAACTCCATGAGCCGTAAGTACCTCTGTAGTTAAAGGTTACTGGCTCCTGTGATTGGACTTTTTGTCTCTGAGACAGGGTACCTTCCTCTTATTTAGGCAATGCAGTAATTAAACTGAAAGAAAGATAGGAAGTAAAAGAGTTGAATAGAATATATCAAAGAGTGGCTTGAGAAGACAAAGTAAAGAATTATAATGAAGTGGGTAAAGACCTGGAGTTACAAAATCAAAAGGGAAGAACACAGTCAGCATTTCTCAGACTGAAAGAAATGAAGAAAAAAACTTAACCCTCAGGTTGTAATACTGAAGGATTCTATGAGGAAAATTGAATGACAGAGGAACCATCAAAAGAAAATGGAAGAAATACAGTCACTGTACCAAAAAGACCTGGCCGATGTTCAACCATGTCAGAAGGCAGCATAGAATCAGGAACTGATGGTACTAAAAGAAGAAGTCCAAGCTGTATCGAAGGCATTGGTGAAAACAAGCACCAGGAATTGACAGAATACCAATGGAGATGTTTCAACAAACAGATGCAATGCTGGAAGTCCTTATTCATCTATGTCAAAATATTTGGAAGACAGCTAGTTGGCCAACTGACTGGAAGAGATGCATATTTGTACCCATTCCAAAGAAAAGTGATCCAACAGAAATGTGGAAATTATCTAACAATATCATTAATGTCACACACAAAATTTTGCTGAAGATAATTCAGAAACGGAGCAAGGATATCTCCTTGAGGACTAAGGTGCACCTGACACAAGCCATGATATTTCCAATCGCCTCATATGCATGTGAGAGCTGGACAATGAATAAGGAAGACCGAAGAAGAGTTGATGCTTTTGAGGTGTGGTGCTGGCGAAGAATGCTGAAAGT